CAGAGGGAATTTGGAAATAATATACTGCACTGTCTGATCGAAATAGTCTAATTCCTCTTGCGGGCTGGACTCCATCATTGGAGACTGGACTCGTCATTCATTTTTCAACAGTGGCGAAGGCATCGCAGTCCCTGTCCTGTCTGAATTCCGCTTAACACAGACCATTCTTGACGAGCAAAACAAACGCTAGGAAGTCCTGTAGCCGGGTTGAAGTTTAGGTGTTTGTTGGGGCGACTGTAGCATCACACTCTCGTTACTGTCCCTCGAGACCAAATCGTGACCTCATTGATCATTCCCATGTTGGGCTGTGAGGCGTTTCAGGCGTTTGTTGGCGACTATTCGATTAAAGTTCGATGAGGAGCTGACGATTTGTATCAGTGTCTGGAAAACGCGAGACTTTTGCTAGCCACTGCTGAAGTGAGAGGGTTCAGGAAGCACCAGAATTAATACCCAGGAGTGACGCCTAGATATTTTGGCGTCTTTTCGGCGACACGCCCTAACAACAGAGCTCAACTGCGAGCTTCTCCCTCTTCAGGCACTTTTCTAGGTTGAAAACCGCCACTCTACTCCTCTCTGGGTGTAGCTATCATTAGTGAAAATATTACGTCAGAATGCAGAGGGCAGCCGTAGGTCGGCAGTGTAACTTCTTCGACGTCGTTGCAACAAACGTTCAACTGCGATGCAGATGTACTGCACTTTGTGAGGGCATATTGTTACGGGTATTCTTGTGGCTGATCTGCCCTTTGATATGAACTCGGTACCGACGGTCACTGATCATGGCTGAGATAAGGCAGTCTTTTGGGGTCTTTGGACACCTTATCACTCTAGAAACTTTACACACGAGGTTATGTGATAATCACCCCTTGTTTCAGATGAAATCCTGCCTCGATGATTCTGATAAGCAAAGGCAACTGCTCGCAACAACTGCATCCATGTCGAAAGCCAGCCTGTTCCACAGGGAGGGCGAATTAAACTATAATGGAAAGTCGCTTGAACAAAGTTCACTCCATTAGTTTCTTCACTGCCCAAGTAAGAAGATAGACCTCTGGCGGTCTGAACTTTCTGCAGGCTTGACTTTAAGTTGGTGATGACCTTCGTCTGCCGTAAGCCTACGGAATTTGCTTAATGTGTTCATTACCATGAACAAAGAATCGAGCCATTGTAAATCCTTTGAATCCAAGTTCCTAAGAAATCCTTGAAAAATGCCGTGGCCATCAATGGCCTTCCTGTTCTTCCGTCCGTCTTCCTGCACTGTGCTGTAGGTGGCTTTGCCTGTTCTGAGGTTAGATCAAAGCAGCTGCGGTTTCAGGGAGTTACAAGGTCAACAATCCCTGCAAAGAACTTCTGTCTCCGTCCAACGGGGTGTGTGGATCTTCCAAAGACGGATGTTGTTTGTCGCAGCAAAGGCCATTCATGAAAACATGCCACAGTGTGCTGGATTTGCCACAGCGACTTCAGCAGCCTGTTTGCTTTTCGACAGTTTCAGCACAGTAAAGGAGCTGACTCAATAAACTACCGACCCTCAGCATTACAGGGCACTGCTAACTTTCCGGGAAAAATCACAGCGCTGTGCTGGGAAGAGGACATGGAATGGCGCTTCTGTCAATGGAGACGCAGCAGCCCTGTCCAGGCTTCGGCCAGTTTGTCATCTGACTGATTTCATTAACCTGCCTAGCTACCATCATGACACAAATATACGCTAGTTGTCGATGTTCAGTCGACTGATTGTTCACCCGCCGCATCGTTTAATGGGTGGCCCCCCTTGACATATGGTAAGTGTTGAGGTCGTCTGCATGAACAGTTGAGTGAAACAGCGTTGGAGGCTGTGGCGGTGGCCAGTTGGTTCTGGGTCCCTGGTATTTGTTCATTAAGGCGATTTCTTTGACGCTCATTAGTGGATTCGAGTGGTTCTAGCTCGCTTTTGTGTTCTTCCATCAAATCTTCGTTAGTTTTTAGTAAAGCAAAGAATTTCCTTAAGGTCTATCCTGGCATAGCTGGCTAAATCGCGTTTGTAGTCATTGGTGTCAACGATCACACTAGATTAAGCTATTTTGTATCCGGCTGCTTTGCGTTCGTCTTCGATTTGAGTCTATGACAGGATGGCGGCGTCAATCCTGTTTTCCTCAAACGCCCTAGATATCAATTTGCATTTTGCGTTGGACATGCTTGCGAAACTCAGATGGAATGCTAAGTATTAACCACGGTTTTATTTTAGGTCGGACTACTCCATCCTTCTTCTATGGCCATCATAAAGCCTGTTGCACT